TTCTTCCTCCCTAACCACCCACCTCTCGCCCCGCCACACACACACACACACACAGCTCCTCACTCACACAAAACTCCAAAACAAAACATTTCACCTTTTATGTGGTCACCGTGTTCTCTAGAAAGGAATAAACTTCCATCACTAATTTCTCAGAATTAAGTAATGCAACAAAGTAGCACAGTTCAAAATCGAGCTCCAAATACTGCCAATACCTGCATAATTATTTGGTTGAAAAGAGGTCTAAGTACAACAAAATAAATAGAAGAAAAGACAGTCTTTTAGGCGTGATGATAGACATTCCTCTTATGAAATAAGAATACATTAATCACTTATATATTCCAGAAAAAATTACTACCAACTTGAATTTTCATAAAGAAATAGACCTACGCTTTGCTAGAAATTAGCCAAAAATTTTAAGGAATCTTCTTTGAGATGTTTGTGTTCATCTATATTAGTTGTAATTCTCTTATCTATACAAGTATATAAGCTAAGTACTAAAAGGGAAGAAATAAATTTATCTCTGCTTTCTGGCATGTAAAAGCCATAAATGCAACAGTTTGATAAGTATTAGAAATTATTACTTTTCAAATGGGACAAAGAATATTTCTACTTTGAAGATCTGACCCCTAATAAATATAGTTATTAGTGGACTTTAATCTGTTGCCATGGATAAACTTCTATCAATAATTCTGAGCTCTGTATCCTGCTTCTTATTTGCTATAATCTTTCCTGCTTTTACCCAGAGTCTCTGAGACAAGGAAACAACAGAGTCTATTTAATAATTTCATCTTATAATTCTCACAAAGTTTTCCTGCTATTTACACAAAAATTATGCATTTTCACATTTGGGAAGAAATCCTCAGTCTATTTATAAGATTTTATTTCATTCTAAAATCAAAATTTCAACTAGTAGAACATACAAGTTGATTATGACAGGTATTTGAGTTTTAAAACAGTATGTTTATAAATAAAAACTTAATCCAAGATAGGCATTTCATTTAAAAAGTACCTGGTCCTTTTTTTTAGATTTAGGTTTTAGAGATTAAGACCACAAGCAAACTAGATCATTGTCTTCTATGAAACGATTAGCATTCAAAAGAAAAAGGTACTCAAACAGATATCTGTATATCCATGTTCATAGGAGCATTATTTGCAATAGCCAAAAGGTAGAAGCCACTCAGGTGTCCACAAATGGATGAATGGATGAACAAATTGTAGTAGTACATACAATGGAATATTATTCAGCCTTAAAAGGGAAGGAAATTCTAACAGATGCTACATGGATGAACTTTGAAGATATTATACTAAATGAAATAAGCCAGTCCCCAAAATGACAAATACTGTATATTTCCACTTATATGAGGCACCTAGAAAAGTCATATTCATAGAGACAGAAAGTAGAATGATGGTTGCCATGACTAGGGGAGAGGGAAATGGGGAGTTAGTGTTTAATGTACAGTTTCAGTTGGGAAAGATGAAGAAGTTCTACAGATGAATGGTGGTGATGACTGCACATCAAATGTGAAAAACAGATATTCCTTTTTTTAAAGACACCTATACCTGATGAGTCTTTACTTTCATTGTTTATTTTTTGTTTTGCATCCTTCTTCCTTTTTATTCTCAATCCCCTAAGTTCATTTAATTCCATTTATAAATTTTGTGATTTATGAGTTTTTAAGAATGGAAGACCAGACTCCAAGAATCACCAATTATGTCAAGAAAAACTGTCCTCTTCTTGAAGTCTAGTCCATTATTTACATGTAGCCGAAGAACACAATTTCATGTCATGCAACAGTATATTTTTGTAATAAGCATTATCCTTTCTACAATATTAATCCAAATCAATTTTCTTCTGACTAGTCTATGCAACCCTGAGCTATATACTTTTTATGACCCCATCCATGGATTTTCTGGAACTTAAAATAAAATTCCAGAATTTCAGTCTTAACTCCTAACTAGAATTGTTTTTTACCAAATGTAAAGCCTGAGGAGAATGTTTTATTCATTTATTCATTCATTCATTCATTCATTCATTCATTTTCATGTGATTTCTTTTTATAAAATTAAATTCATTGGGGTGACAATGGTTAATAAAATAATGCAGGTTTCAAGAGTAAAATTCTATAATACATCATCTGTATATTGCATAGTATGTTCACCACCCACAGTCAAATCTTTAAAGAATTATTGATCCATAATTTATACAATTTATAGTAATCTGCTTTCAAGTTCATTATTTTCATGATGAACCCACAAAACATAAACTTTCAGAAATTGTTTTGTTTTATCTTAAAAGTAGCAGTTAAGGGCCTAGACTTAGCAGTCAGAAGCCTGGTTTGAATCCTGGTTCTATTACTTACTATATGTGTGAGTGGGTAAATTACTTAAATTCTGTAAATCTGCTTCTCCATTTGAAAAATGTGGATATTAATGCCTAAGATCTGTTGTGAGGACCATGCATATAAAGCTTCTCTGCAGTGTCTGACATGTAGTAACGTTCTTAATAAATGGTAAATAGTAGTAATAGTAGTAGTAGTAGTAGTAACAACAAGAGCAGTAGCAACATGTAGTAGTTATAAGTGCCCTGCTGGACTGAAAGACATTATATTGCAACTTTAAAATATAACTCCACGATTTTAATTCTAAAATGAATCCAGAAAAAAGAGCAACTGTATATCATTAAGACTTGGATTTTTTGTTCATGTCTTCTAAATAACTTCATCCATGTTATCATGTTAAGCAAAAGAAATTAAACAAAACAAAAATGAGAAGACTCAGTATATATAAGTGTACATATATATACACAAATACACATATCTCTCTACTGTGATACATACGATTTCAGGAAGCTGTATAAAAAGCATGAGAAAAAAGTTGAGAAGTGAACAGGAAGAGCCATAGACTATAATGAGAGTAACCATGTATACAAATGTAGGTAAATTTTCTAGCTCAACTATTCAAATAACTCATGTCAGAAATATATACTGTAATCCTTCTGGTAATTACCTTAGGAGACAGATCCACAGGTCCAAAAAAGTTGGATATTTTCATCCCTTCTTATCAATGTAGACAAAAAACTCATATTTTCTTTAAACTTAACCCAAA